TTGACAGCTTGACTCCTGAGAGTTTCTAGGACTTCCGTCCTGCCCCACAACGAAGCACATGTGATACATGTGGTCTCACCTTAGGCAAGTGAGTTTGTTCAAAATTGCCTCTGTTCACCCAGCAGAAAATGGGTACCCGGTTGGATAAAGTCATGTGACTATAACCTTCTAGCGCCTAACAGGCAGCTTGGGTTATCCGGGGTAATAATAATCAGGGTGTTAGCGCTTTGAGCATGCTTTGTTGTGTGGAGATTAGCGCATTATAAGACTTCTCATTATTATTATTATTAAATATAAATAAAGCAATCCAAATCTTTGAATGTTGATTATGACGGGAAGTCAACCAAAACTATACTGAACATATTTTAGAATATATTATCTGAGGGCATACCATTATCCAAGAGGTACTAAATGACAGATCAGTTTTTACTTTCTGCAATTTTTTAAAGAAATATTATGCCCCAATGTGTTGTGATGACTAATAACTTGTTAAACCACATTACCCACAAATGTGAAATTTTGGATATAGCTTTGCTAATGATTCCTTCAAAATAAAATGGAAGCTTTTGAAACATTGGACATAGTTAGGCATGAATATACTTATAGTTAGGCTGAGTACTTTTTGAACGCCCTTGTACACATACTCTACAGTACAAGTATAAAGTGGGTTGTAGGTACAAATGACAGGACAGTCAAGGTCTATACTATTCTGTTCAGTGATACCTACATCAGGATGAAACGACAAATCCTGTCAAGTAGTTGCACGTGTCAACAGCTGTGATATCGGTTGTTACATTGCACCTGAAAAACATGACCAGGGTGACGTTGTACAAAACCTTAGTACTAAGGCTGTCTTAAGTCTATGTTAAGGAACAGAAGATACAATCATCTTAGTGCTAAGGCTGTCTTAAGTCTATGTTAAGGAACAGAAGATACAATCATCCTAGTCTTAAGTCTATGTTAAGGAACGGAAGATACAATCATCTTAGTGCTAAGGCTGTCTTAAGTCTATGTTAAGGAACAGAAGATACAATCATCTTAGTGCTAAGGCTGTCTTAAGTCTATGTTAAGGAACGGAAGATACAATCATCTTAGTGCTAAGGCTGTCTTAAGTCTATGTTAAGGAACGGAAGATACAATCATCTTAGTGCTAAGGCTGTCTTAAGTCTATGTTAAGGAACGGAACATACAATCATCTTAGTGCTAAGGCTGTCTTAAGTCTATGTTAAGGAACGGAAGATACAATCATCCTAGTGCTAAAGGGCTGTCTTAAGTCTATGTTAAGGAACGGAAGATACAATCATCTTAGTGCTAAGGCTGTCTTAAGTCTATGTTAAGGAACGGAAGATACAATCATCCTAGTGCTAAGGCTGTCTTAAGTCTATGTTAAGGAACGGAACATACAATCATCTTAGTGCTAAGGCTGTCTTAAGTCTATGTTAAGGAACGGAAGATACAATCATCCTAGTGCTAAGGCTGTCTTAAGTCTATGTTAAGGAACGGAAGATACAATCATCTTAGTGCTAAGGCTGTCTTAAGTCTATGGGAACGGAAGATACAATCATCCTAGTGCTAAGGCTGTCTTAAGTCTATGTTAAGGAACGGAAGATACAATCATCTTAGTGCTAAGGCTGTCTTTAAAGTCTATGTTAAGGAACGGAAGATACAATCATCCTAGTGCTAAGGCTGTCTTAAGTCTATGTTAAGGAACGGAAGATACAATCATCCTAGTGCTAAGGCTGTGTCTATAAGTCTATGTTAAAGGAAGGAACGAAGATACAATCATCCTAGTGCTAAGGCTGTCTTAAGTCTATGTTAAGGAACGGAAGATACAATCATCCCCTAGTGCTAAGGCTGTCTTAAGTCTATGTTAAGGAACGGAACATACAATCATCCTAGTGCTAAGGCTGTCTTAAGTCTATGTTAAGGAACGGAAGATACAATCATCCTAGTGCTAAGGCTGTCTTAAGTCTATGTTAAGGAACGGAACATACAATCATCTTAGTGCTAAGGCTGTCTTAAGTCTATGTTAAGGAACGGAAGATACAATCATCCTAGTGCTAAGGCTGTCTTAAGTCTATCTTAAGGAACGGAAGATACAAATCATCCTAGTGCTAAAGGCTGTCTTAAGTCTATGTTAAGGAACGGAACATACAATCATCTTAGTGCTAAGGCTGTCTTAAGTCTATGTTAAGGAACGGAACATACAATCATCTTAGTGCTAAGGCTGTCTTAAGTCTATGTTAAGGAACGGAAGATACAATCATCCTAGTGCTAAGGCTGTCTTAAAGTCTATCTTAAGGAACGGAAGATACAATCATCCTAGTGCTAAAAGGCTGTCTTAAGTCTATGTTAAGGAACGGAACATACAATCATCCTAGTGCTAAGGCTGTCTTAAGTCTATGTTAAGGAACGGAACATACAATCATCCTAGTGCTAAGGCTGTCTTAAGTCTATGTTAAGGAACGGAAGATACAATCATCCTAGTGCTAAAGGCTGTCTTAAGTCTATCTTAAGGAACGGAAGATACAATCATCTTAGTGCTAAGGCTGTCTTAAGTCTATGTTAAGGAACAGAAGATACAATCATCTTAGTGCTAAGGCTGTCTTAAGTCTATGTTAAGGAACGGAAGATACAATCATCTTAGTGCTAAGGCTGTCTTAAGTCTATGTTAAGGAACGGAAGATACAATCATCTTAGTGCTAAGGCTGTCTTAAGTCTATCTTAAGGAACGGAAGATACTAAATCATCCTAGTGCTAAGGCTGTCTTAAGTCTATGTTAAGGAACGGAAGATACAATCATCTTAGTGCTAAGGCTGTCTTAAGTCTATGTTAAGGAACGGAAGATACAATCATCTTAGTGCTAAGGCTGTCTTAAAGTCTATCTTAAGGAACGGAAGATACAATCATCCTAGTGCTAAGGCTGTCTTAAGTCTATCTTAAGGAACGGAAGATACAATCATCCTAGTGCTAAGGCTGTCTTAAGTCTATCTTAAGGAACGGAAGATACAATCATCTTAGTGCTAAGGCTGTCTTAAGTCTATGTTAAGGAACGGAAGATACAATCATCTTAGTGCTAAGGCTGTCTTAAGTCTATCTTAAGGAACGGAAGATACAATCATCTTAGTGCTAAGGCTGTCTTAAGTCTATCTTAAGGAACGGAAGATACAATCATCCTAGTGCTAAGGCTGTCTTAAGTCTATCTTAAGGAACGGAAGATACAATCATCTTAGTGCTAAGGCTGTCTTAAGTCTATCTTAAGGAACGGAAGATACAATCATCTTAGTACTAAGGCTGTCTTAAGTCTATGTTAAGGAACGGAAGATACAATCATCTTAGTGCTAAGGCTGTCTTAAGTCTATGTTAAGGAACAGAAGATACAATCATCTTAGTACTAAGGCTGTCTTAAGTCTATGTTAAGGAACGGAAGATACAATCATCTTAGTGCTAAGGCTGTCTTAAGTCTATGTTAAGGAACGGAAGATACAATCATCTTAGTACTAAGGCTGTCTTAAGTCTATGTTAAGGAACCCGAAGATAAAATCATCTTAGTACTAAGGCTGTCTTAAGTCTATGTTAAGGAACGGAAGATACAATCATCTTAGTGCTAAGGCTGTCTTAAGTAACGGAAGATACTATGTTAAGGAACGGAAGATACAATCATCTTAGTGCTAAGATGGCTTTTTACAACAGCATCCAGGTAAACTGAAGTAATAAGTAAATACAGACTGTATTTGTCTTTCCTGTTGTCATAATTCTTCTACACACGTTGGTCTGAGTCATAAACGTGTTGATTTGTGTATCCTGATTAAACGCAATGCATGCAAACATATCCCTGGCAACCTTTGTCACCTGTCGTTCATTATCAGCTATCAGGTATCTTTGTGAACTTGGACATGCCATTCATGTGACTCAGCTACTGTATATTTACACCTTAGTAATGAATGACGTGGGACTTGTTTACACACGTCTCCTTGGTGTTACTCTCCTTGGTGTTACCGGTCTATCATATACTGTCATACTGGAATATTTCCCAGGAACAGGATAATTTGTTAGAAACATATACACCAAATAATATTATAGAATTTGTAAATATATATTATTTGTAAAAATCAACCCTGATCCTAGCCAATATTCCATTATGACATTGCTCCATATCAACACAATAAATCCAGTGATTGACATCATGAGCAACAAGCTATGCTGTAGTGGAACCAAGTCAACGAGCATCAAGCCCCCACCCCCAACCACGATCCTGTGAAGCATCTTTACATCGGCCCAAGCCCCGAATTTAACTAACAACATTACTCAGTTAAAAAGGGTGCGGTGGGGTAGCCTAGTGGTTAAAGCGTTTGCTCGCTTCGTCGCGCCCGAAGGCCTGGTTCGATTCCCCACATGGGTACAATGTGTGAAGCCCATTTCTGGTGTCGCCCGCCTTGATATTGCTGGAATATTGCTAAAAGCGGTGTAAAACTATATTCACTCACTCACTCACTCAGTTAAAAAATCAAGTCAGTTAATAAACAGTAGTTGTAGCACAGCCCGTGATATAAAACTAAATTATAATGATTCCTGCTTTGTCTGTTATTTAAGGTTCATACATCTCATGACCTGATATTGTAACCCATGCTTGTCGCAAGAGGTGACTAAAGGGATCGGGTGGTCAGGCTCGCTGACTTGGTTGACACATGTCAACCCAATTGCGTGAGTTGAGATTTACGCGGCACTCAGCAATATTCCAGCTATATGGCGGCAGTCTGTAAATAATCGAGTCTGGACCAGATAATCCAGTGATCAACAACATGACATCGATCTGCGCAATTGGGAACCGATGACATGGGTCAACCAAGTCAACCACCCTGACCACCCGATCCCGTTAGTCTCTTACGACAAGCATGGGTTACTGAAGATCAATTCTAACCTGGATCTTTGCGGGTAGTATCCAGTAAGATAACCTGACACTTCATGAATTTGAAATAAACACACAACACCAATAGCAAAACGCTTAATAATGTGTTTATTCAATCAGTGACATAGTTGTACATGGACCACCAGTCTATGTGAAAGTCAGTGACTACATGAAAGATAAAACACAAGGTCCTACCACTCTGTCCATTTTAAAGATGCAACATCAGACTGCCATTTTGTTTTACTTCAACACAATAGTGACAGCAAATGACAAAATATATTCAGTCTTTTAAAAAACCTGTGCTAGATATCCATCATTTAGGGGACCTCTTAATGTGGTTATCAGATAAAATAGCTTCATCAAATAAAAGCAAAGAGAAACATATTTACATGTACCACTGGTGCTAAGAATCATGAGCTCATGATGAGTGGTGCACCTCAGTGAACGTTGGTTGTGTTTATTGCTAAATAAAACATATTTGTTGAATGTCCATACAAAACATTCCATTCAACCATTCAAAGCTCACAAAGGACTGGCACAAAATGCAAATATGATGTTGTACCTTTAACCTCTCGTACACACACAGAACATCCTGACACCAGATTACATAATCAGCAGCCATAATGTTCAAGTATGTGAGTCACATGGAGGTGTCGACACCTGCCCTAAAACACCCAGAGCTGAGGATGGCACTAACTGTACTGGGTGCCGTTGTACAAAACAACCATAGCTCTAAGACTAACTTGGGAGTTACCGTCACCTTAGCGCTAAGACTAAGACTAACTTGGGAGTTACCGCTAAGACGAACTTGGGACTTGGGAGTTACCTAAGACTAACTTGGGAGTTACCACACACCTTAACTAACTTGGGAGCTACCATCACCTTAAGCTAAGACTAACTTGGGAGTTACCGTCACCTTAGCTAAGACTAACTTGGGAGTTACAACCTTAGCTACTCAAGATGGGCACCCTGTACTCACAATATAATCATGGTCAAAAATAAGGCAACAACACCAACAGGAAGCATTAGTCTGAAATGAGTTTCTGTGTTTGTTAGGTGTTCCCATATTCTTGGTCATCAATATACATGCAGTACAATAATAGTGACAAGACCATTGTCAATTTCCATAATCCTGAGAACATTCTGCCAAAATCAGAGTCAACGGCACAATTCTAACTTTATCATAAGCATGAGTGTATGTATCACTATAACAGAGTGAAGACACCAGGTGTTCGGACATAGGTGAGCGCATTCCACCCCAATGGAGATACCTGTCACAAACACATGCAAAGACATGTTATTTACCTTTGAAAAAAACCCAAGGAAACATGCAGCACAGGTTAAAATAGGGGTTTCCAACGCATCATTTTTGGTCACTGGTGTGTCAAATTTCCTACACCTTGAGAAGGTTTGACAAAAATCACTGAGAACTGCTTCATATAAATGATATTCTCATTATATCTCAACCAAGGAGAGTCTTTTCTTCATAATCATAACATAACAGAAGCTGATTTGTCACTTGGAAGGTTCCAATGACATGAAAGAAAAGCTTCATGGATAAATGACATGCTGAAAGTTTCAAAATCTCTTTGTTCTGACTATTCTGTAAGCAATTTCTAGGAACACTTTAGAAACATCTGATACTGCCCTTCTAATTAGAACATACCAAATTTGATTTTAGTATTTCATTTAAGCACTGGACTGAGCACTGGTTGGCTGAAAACAGAATTGTGTTTCCGGACACATGTCCGTAACAGAATTGCAGGGACTCTGGAAATATAAGAAAACCAAATTGGTTTCTATTTCTTTTACCAGGAAGTCATTAGTGCCATGCAAATAATCATAGCACAGTTGGAATGGTGTTTAAGTCCTGTTCCTGGAAACAGACATTCCTTCTGGACTTCAAGCATGATTCATTGTACATACACCCTACATGAGACCCAAATACTTATTATCATGGAATATTCTGATTAAGTGTATATTCTGGAACAACAATTTCATACCATCAAATAATATTAGAAGGTTGATCATCGCTTGTAAATAAATCATTACAGTGTACATATATGACAAAGGAAATACTATACTGTCCCTGAAATCTTAAGCATTATACATATATTACTCAAAATTAAGAAAAGAATAAATGATAATTTCACATGACTTGGGTTCACAGTCATTTGAAAACATAGTGTTCTTAACACTTTTTGAGTAGTATACATAATGTAAAATAACCAGCTCTTTAATTAGTACTTAGTACTAACTTAGTACTAACTAAATGACTATTTTTATTATACTCAGTACTTATACTTGAGTGCATATACATTTAAAAGCATTTCAGGAGCTATTTTCATTGAGGATGTGACTTTTAATTATATGAAAATATTCATATACACAGGATTTTAATAAATTCAAACACCATATTCAATTTTAAATATAGTTAAATATTAATAGTAACATTTCTAATACACAAATTTATTTCTTCAAATCTGTTTAATATTATCAAACAATAATCTTTATAGTGTTGCTCTGAAATGGAAAATAAATATTTTATGTACCATTTTATTCATATACTGCTCTCAAGAAGTTAAGGACCATCCTATTACAGTAGATAATTGGTCATGGCACAAACCTTAACTTCTTTTGAGCAGTATATGACCTCCAAATGTGTAGAAACACAGAGATCCAAAAGCTATATTTGAAATTTGTTGTGCTATATTCTGTTAATTAAATATTCATAAAAGTTAATTAAATTTGGTGAAAACAAACATGCGCTTGCTTAACAAAGCATTAATAACTGCTATAACATATTTACATGCTAAAACTGCTGCGTCTACTACTTAAAAGAAGTCAAAAAAGGCTGCTTCTTTCACATCACGATAGTTAAATCAGTCTTGGCATGGTGAATAAACTATAGTATCATGAAAGAATTGGGTGTTCTTAACTTCGTTTGAGTAGTATATATTTCAGTTCTGTACTGGCATAGTCTTGAAACAAAATTGCATAACAAGCAAACTCACTATTGCAAAATCATTCATATCTTCAACACCATAACATTTCACGCATCTCCAATAATAAACTGTTTACATTATAATAATGTCATGGCTCATAATATAATGTCAAGAATATTCCACTGATGACTCCAAGAGACAACGACAAAGACCGACCATTGCTTTATCTGAATTCTAAAACCTTTAAGGGCTGGGGTAATTGATTTAGACTAATTATTCCTGCACCATTCTTTTGAACAATCATAATTTTCAAAATGACAAAAGGGACAGAATTTTACTTTAAATATTTGTTTTTGCACAAAAAGGGGATATATAATTATCCATGGGTATAGTTTTTGGTGTAGAAGATAATCAGTGTCCCCATTTACCCTTAAAGGTAGAATGGCCGGTCACATGATAAAACACTTAGACTATGGTGGTAAATATTTTTATCATGACTAAGAATGTCAGGTCAATAAGTAGAAATATTTTAGTAAGGGATTATGAGAATTATAGAAGGTAACAGTTTGTAGTTATGTACTGCATATCAGAAAAAGAAATGTTAAAATACTTTTTAAGATACATGGGCAAGTTTCATGCAAAATTTGATTGAAAAAAGGAACATGGCTGAATATCTGTGGCCATATGCATATGTCGGACGTAAATTCTAGTCCGGGCGTAAGTAAAATCTGTGCCTGGGTGTAACATTAAACCGGTATGCAGATCTTCAACGTAGCTAAAGTTACGCAAGGTGTAGCGCTCTATATTTACGCCACCTACCCAGCAGGCATAAGCCAGGCGTAACCCTGTAATGGTGGCAGTCGTATACCGATATCGCAGATGATAGTTCTACAGAAACCGTATATTTAGAGAAAGGTCAAACCCTTTAGAAATATCCAACGACCTTGATCTGTACAGAAGATTTAGAATCAGGAGAATTGACATTTTCAAGATAGTGAATACAATCAGAGGTGATATTGGTTATGGCTCCAACCGCAATTCCACCATTAACTTGAATTCATACTCATTTCACACAAAACGTGACTGTAAAGTAAGGTTTAAATGCACTTGAAACACATCAGATTAAAGTCATTACAGTTTAGAATACACATATTAATAATTAATAAATTAAATTTGCTTTTCCCGGTTTTCTTTGGCTTTCCGTGATTACGGCTGAAACGGACGTGCTGCGAAGATGTTTTGCACCGCTTCCCGTTGGTTTAAAAATGTTTGAAAATCCAAAAATAGCAAACGGTGCCAGGACGTAAATCCGTTAAGTAAGTCGGTCGTAGTAACGCCTAGGCTTAACCGACGTTGTGCATGACGTGTAAAAGCAGGCCGCTGCTAAGCCTGACGTAGTGTGTTACGCCTGATGTTAGCTACGCCCGACACGTGAATATGGCCACTGAAGTCTGGATACAATATGCTACACTTTTTTTTGCCCATAAAAAAATTGCATTATATTTCAAAAAATTATTTTTATTAAATATCTTTTATAGAGATCATTCAAGACACTGCCAAATAATCCAGGCAAAAATAGAACATATTTTCAATGTGAACTTCACACCATTTCTCATGAACTGTGTGAACCTAAATATTTCACATACATGGATTTGGGTTGGTTTACTCAGAAACATGTAATTGTGGTACTGTTCCATGAACTGTCAGATTGTCTGGCATCCCAAGGTTTGGTTTGTAGTGAGTGAGTGAGTTTAGTTTTATGCTGCTTTTTGCAATTTCCACCAATATCATGGTGGGGGACACCAGAAATGGGCTTCACACATTGTACCCATGTGGGGAATCAAACCCGGATCTTCGGCATAACGAGCTAACGCTTTAACCACTAGGCTACCCCACCAACCATTTCTAGATTGAGGTGTGTGTAATGGCTGCATTCTTAACTGACGGCAACAATTTGCATGTCAGAACTTTTAAGAAGCATATTCCTGTTTTGTACATTACATTGTTAACAATATCGGGTCAACATCAGACAATGGTGGAATATTGTCAGGATGGACACTCAACTTTACCCAAACCTGTAAAAATACCTTGGCCTGGAGGATGACAAGATGCTCCTTTAATGTCAATGAGCCCCTTTAACCACCAGTAGAAACAGTGGTTAAGAGTGAGTGAGTGAGTGAGTTGAGTTTTACGCTGCACTCAGCAATATTCCAGCTATATGGCAGCGGTCTGTAAATAATTGAGTCTGGACCAGACAACCCAGTGATCAACAGCATGAACATCGATCTACGTGTGTCAACCCAGTCAGCGAGTCTGACCACCCGATCCCGTTAGTCGCCTCTTATTACAAGCATGGGTTACTGAAGACCAATTCTAACCCTGATCTTCACGGTACGGTGGTTAAGAAAAGTTTTGTTTCATTTTTCTTTTGTCCAACCCAAAGGTCTCAGCTTAATACATATGAGGAACTGAACCTTGTGTTGATGCAAGTGAGCACTCTCCCCATTGACCTATTCCACCTGGTGTTTATGAGAAATGGTGTAATGCGACACAATCACCCTATCTTTCATGGAAATTATCAAAATATATGTGACTCTGACAAAACATGAAGGCAACGGTATGACGTGAGTATTTTGTGCGTATATGACAGAGTTGTAAGCTACCATGTGGGCAATAGGTTCGTCTTTTCACAAAGGTCAGAATTTTAATTCAGTATCAGATTTCAGAATATTGAATATTAATATTTATATTGAAAATAGATAGCAATACTTGCAATAGGCTTGATAACCAAGTGATTATCTGACTCAATAAAATGAAAAAGTTGTGTCTAGTTATTTAAACCACACTAGCAACCTGCTTTGTGAAGGGTTACAGTTCCAGAATGGAAATCTTACCATTGGCTGGTGCTTAAAAAGAGTTGGTTGGTTTGTTGTTTAACGCTGAACTCAGCAATATTCCAGCTATAAGGCGTCAGTCTGTAAATAAATAGTCTGGACCAGACAATCCAGTGGTCAACAGCATGAGCATCGATCTATGCAAATGGGATACGATGACATGTGTCAACCAAGTCAGCGAGCCTGACCACCCAATTCTGTCAGTCACCTCTTACGACAAGCATGAGTTACTGGAGACCAATTTTAACCTGGATCTTCACAGGTTTGAAAAGAGTGAATGAGTGAGATTGGGCAGTATTTCAGTCAACATGTTTGTTGCATCTCCTTAAAACCCAGGAGCATGTGTATCGAGCAGTTCTGACGAAGGATCATAATCAGCATGGATTTAAACCATGACCAGTGGATCCTTGTAGAGCTAAGGGTTGCAATTCTGAATGAAACACCATACTTCATTGGGGCACTTGTGAACCTGGTTTGAAGCAACTGTGATATGGCATGGTCCACAATCTGACCTTGGTAATACTTGTGTTGGAACTATATACCTTGTCAAAGGAACTGCTGAAGGTTTGATGTTTGGCGCTGAATGATACTGTTAGAGGACTGAAGTAGGGGTCACCAAGAATGGATCGAGAATCATAGCTGGGTTTTTAAGGGGAAAATCTAAAATCTGGGACAATTTAAACATATTTGTGTGATACAAAGATATCTAAATTTGAAAATACTGAAGAATTATCAAGAACACTTGGTTACAATGACTGGGTAAAATGAATGAAATACTGCAAACCTATGGGCCACATGGTACCTGCTGATATACAATCACACCCATACCATCACAAACACACACAACATCAGGGGAGACAAGGTCACAACTACAGATGCAAGGATCCTACAGCACAACACACACCTAGTCATCTGTAAAACAGGATGAAAGACTCTTGGTAAAGAATTTCATACACAGTACCACAGGTACAGAAGCTCACCTTTATATAACCTGACTTTTTGTCACAAAACTGTTATGCTCCCTTAACACTTAGACTGGCCCAATTTTGTAAAACAACCCCCAAAAGATCATATCATGTTGAATTATTAAATAGTTTGGATTATACAGTGGATGAAACCTTCCTTTGTTGGCTTAAAATGGTAATGAGTTCATTAACTGTTACATGGTGAAAATCCATGACGTTAAATTGCATTGATAATATTTCAGGGAGCAAAAGTGGCATTCAAATACTACAGGATAAGAATTTGTGGTTTTCATAACATATTCCATGCACAGATTCCTTTCCAGCTGACTTGAAAGACAACATAAATTTCAGGATAGTGGTTTAATAAACCTAGCTCCCCTTAGCTTGTGGGATCCTTGCATATCGCTAGAGTGAATATCAACACATCACAAACATGCACACACCATCCAAGGGCAATCTTCACATTAACACTTTGGTTACAACAGAGCTTCCCTTCATTATTCAATAAAACATCCATCCAATGATCAAGAATCATCAAATTCAAAAGAAATGAAACATGTGTATTAACAGTTTACGATTGGTAACTAGGACTAATAGTGTTTTTGTCAGTGCAGTAACAGTAGATATAGACACAAATTTCAAAAAGACACATTGTAATACAAGATTCATATTGTGTAACTCTACCACAGAAAAACAATGTCTCAGCCGGAAAGTCTCTCCGAGAATGTCAAGACTTCATTCAACAGACCTTAAACCGTTTCCAATATCTCATCATTCACAAATTTGCCAAGACACTTTGCTAGAAATATCCTAATTTTTCAGAAACACCACAAACCATATTTGTGGGGCAAAAAGAAGAAAAAAATTCCAATCCCAAAACAAGCTGGAAGTTATTAATCATTATCAACAAATAATTCACCCAACTTCAGGCAGGTCTTTCCTCCCATGATGTATACGTGCAAGTCATGTTTGTTATTTGGCGTTTCGTGAAACCTGCTTCAAATAATGACTTTAACACGTCAATGCATACAATATCTTTATTGTTTCATTGCATAACAAAAGAGTTAATGAGAACAGAATAATGTCGTATAGTACACGTAGAATGACTGGGTAATAGAGTAGATGAAACACGTGGAAGTGAACAGCTACTTTCACAGATATCACTGGTGACATCAAACTTGGAACTTCTGTTGAAGGATAATCGCACATGAACGTAGCCAATCGTCACCTTCCCAGAGTTTCTACCGTCAAATTTCAAATGAAATTACTGATGGTTCAGGTGTGAACATCACACTTCTAAATGACATGTGACACAATATGAGATGCACTAGGGTCTGTCTAGGATAAACAAACATTGTTTTGCAAAACACCATGCAAAATATCAAAAATCGTCAAATTTCTAAAATTCTAGCAATATACAACCACCCCTCTGACAAAATTATTTTCAAATTATTACGTTATGAAAGACACAACCACCAAACTCTCGTCTAGAATAGGTATTGCTGGGACCAGTATTTACTTCTTGTTTACAGATACACAAACCATATAAATTGGAAAAAATCCACACACTGTCAAATATAGCTGCAGAATAAGATGTTTCTATAAGATCTATCTTTGTAAATGTTCAGTGAAAAAGAGACATAGTTTTGTATGCTTTCATCTTCTTTTGACCATTCATTTTGGGGGAGTTAAGGTGAATGAAAAGTACCAATGTTGTGGTACTAGTTAAATTTGAAGAAAACATTAAACAAAGTTTGATTGGCTCTAAAGAAAGAGTGTATGTTTTATGTTAAACACAGACAACCAAACAGGTGAAGCTAGTACTCCATGATAGGCTCACTGCTCCAACTGTCTGGTGGAGTGAGTGAGTGAGTTTTATTCTGATGTCAGCCTCATTCCAGCTGTATGACAAGGGCTGAAGTCAAACGTCTACACTTTAACATAGACAAAAACCTGGAGCTTAATTGTTCAAACATGCCATTTATATAAGTAATATTATACCTAATCAAATTCTAATCGCTTAATAAAATATTCAACATCACTTTGCCAAACTGAAAGTTTTGACAGGATATGAAGACAGGTCATCAGTGAGCTGACGGTTTATACGAAACACCTTTTGTCCCAGGACAAGGACGAGGAAATATTTACATGAGTATTTTCAGATTCATTTTTCTGCTTGTTAATGTTCAGTTTAATTTTGAGTTCGTGTGAGAGGTTAACTCTGAATCCCCCTATGTTCTCAACAGCCTTAAGCCTGTCTCCACAAAGCAGTCTTAATACTACAACTGTTACGTCTATGAACACCCTTTACAAACATCTGGTGTCCCCACTGATTATCACTTATCCATTCATGTACATTTTCACTGTTATTTTGCCTTTTACATCAAATGGTAATTGTGTTAGATAATTGAAACTGGCTATTCCGGATGGTGTTGTTTTATATACAGATACATTCATCATACGTTAGTGAGTATTTAGTTGCACGCTGCTTTTAGCAATATTCCAGCAACATCACAGCAGGGGACACCAGAAATGGGCTTCACACATTGTACCCATGCATGGTATTGAACCCTGGTGTTCGGCGTGACAAGCGGACACTTTAACCAAGATGTTACCTCGCCTCTCCCACAGTGATAAGATTGCTGTGTGGAACATAGCCCTGGCGCTAAGGAGGAAACAAACCCAGTCATGAATGGTAACAGGGTTTCATGCCAAACAGGAAAGTGCCAACCACTACCCACGTCCTAATCATTTAGATGTACAACGTTACCAAATTTCAGAGGTATGGTTGCATACATGAAGCAGTTAACTCATCACAGATGTGCAACAGGCAATTGCAAGGCCAGGATATTAAAACATGTATGTACACACAGTATAGAAACAGCACATCTCTATAGGACATCCAATACACACAGAATGTACCGATGAACTTACTACCGATACACTACTTCAAATGAACATGCGTAGAACACAGACGGTGGAGAGAAAGACAAGCATGACTTGAAATACTGAAAAAACATTTAAGGAAAACCTTTACCTGAAAGTCTGTTGACTAACGACCTTGCCAATAACAGGTAAGCAGAATTAGGTGCTCAGCAATTAAAATGTTGGTTTGGGAACATCTTGAAAAGCAGGAGTATGTCTGATTCATGCACATGAGCGGAAAATGCTCCTGTTTTTAAGGATGATCTGTAACTAAGTATGATTCATAGCAAATTATGAATTCAAAATCCAGTGTTTTTATGTGGACACAGTCAGAATATAAGAATCATAAAATACATATACATTTATTAAAACTCTGCTTTAAAAATTATGATTGTTTAACACATGTAGTATAGACAAGAATACGTTTAAGAAATGTAGACATTTGATGATAAAAGACATTGTTT